TGGTAAAGGCAGTAGATTAATAATTTCTCACATTGGCAGTGAAAAAGGATTTGATTAGCATGGCTTGTTAGAATTTCAGTCCAAAAGCAGAAAAGACTATCACGAGGAGATGACAGCTAATGATTTCGAAGAGTATTTTGAGCAGATGATTGAACACATACCACCAAATTCAATTATCGTATTAGATAATGCACCTAATCATTCTATCATGACTAGTAGAAAGACATCCAACGACGGCGTGGAAGAAACAGGATATTCTTGACTGGCTGCGGAATAAGTATCTGACTTACGAAGATTAAATGGTAAAAGCAGAACTTTTAAAAATTGCCCGGCAACACAAATCTAAGTTCAAGAAATACGTCTTTGACAAAGTGGCGGAAAGGCGAAACATCACAGTCCTTAGACTTCCACCCTACCACTACGAAATAAATCCAATTGAACTGATTTGGGCACAAATGAAAAGTTATGTGGCTAGAAAAAATACGTCATATAATTTACAAGCTGTACGTGAACTTTTAATTCGAGGCTTTACAACATATTACAGAACAAAACTGGAAAGATGCAGTAAGATATGTAATAGAAGAAGAACAAAAATGTGGGATCTTAATAACATAATTGATGCGACCGTAGAGACACAACCGCTAATTATTAACCCTCAAAACGACTCGGATTCCGAAGTTGATCCTATTTATTTTGAATTTGAATAGTTTTCTAATCGTAATTATATAAGGTAAGTAATAGTAGTTGTAATCGTAGGGTATTAAAGGGGAAAGGCGCAAAATTTCGCCTGTCAAAATGTTCAATGTGTTTTAAATGTATCCATTTTTTTTTAATTCTGAGAAAACTAAAAAGTATTTTTGAAAAATTTAAAGGCGGAATGAAATATTTATTAGAATAAATAAAAAGTTTCTTTTGCATGCAATATTTTTAATTAAAAATTATACTATATTTTCTCTTTTATTTTTGAACACATAACACATTGAAAATTTTGCCAGGCGAGATTTGGCGCTTTTCCCCTTGATTAAATAAATGTATCTTTTACAAATGTCAAGAAACTTTTTATTTTTGAATGAAGTTTTATTAAACTAAAAATACAATTTACATAAGGACAATTTAAAAACTATATTTATTAAGTTCAAATAAATGTTTCAATCATATACTCTACGACACTAGTCGTAGTCATCTGTAACCAAAATACCTTCGTAATCGGGTTATAAGATTGACTGCGGTATTGTATTCCTTCAGACACAAGGTGAGTTAGTCGAAAATATCTTAAACCGTCAGTTTCAGGTTGGTTTTTACTATTATATCGTATTACCTATCCTCTCTGTATTCCAGTTCTCTAATTAGAGTTAGCGTAGCTAGCGTAGCGTAGCGGGTAGGTACTTTTCACGATCCCGGTGGAAACAGACCTACTTCAGGGATTTGCGACCCTGCCCACGCTAGCTCATGATATTCCACCATCTCACACCGTGGAATCTCATGTCCCAGAGCCTTTATCCTACACCCTCCATATTTATCCCTCCTAGTCCTCAACCCTGGTGAAAGGCAGCAGCGATCACTAGTACCAACGCAAGGCGCAAAAGAAATTATCTTGGACCGGCTTGTTATTGGAATTCCACAGGCATGACTAGGACAGTTTGAATGGCTGTGGTACTGCGGTGTTGAAAGTAACGGGATACTACAACACTACCTTTTCCCCAGGATAACTCATCTCATTATGGCAGAACAAAACAAAACTCAGATGGCCCTCAGTCCCGGGCAGGCCTTAGATGGTCAGAGGGTGCGAAGAATCTCCCGGTGCCAAATAGATGATATCCAACGAATTTCAACATGGAATGTTAATAGTCTTTACGAACCAGGAAAACTACACAACCTTATAAAGGAAATGAATCGGCTGAAAATAAATATAATGGGAGTCAGTGAAGTCCGATGGTCTGGATCTGGTCAGTTTACGAAAGATAAGATTACTATGTATTACTCGTGTAGTGATCCAACAGATAGACATCACCGACATGGGGTGGCTATTGCTCTTGACAGGAAGACCAGTAAATCGGTGACAGATTTTGTTCCAATTTCCGAACGAGTCATGTTGATCAAAATGACAGGCAAACCAGTAAACATAAATGTGACACAAGCATATGCACCAACAGCAGATAAGTCAGAAGAAGAAATAACTAAGTTCTATAAAGATCTGGAAAAAGCAATAAGACTAACAAAGAAAGAGGACATAAACATAATAATGGGCGACTTTAACGCCAAGGTGGGTAAAGGAAGATATGAAGACATAATTGGAGAGTACGGCCTTGGAGTTAGAAATGAAAGAGGCGACCTGCTGTGTGAATTCTGCCAGGAGAACGGTTTTGTCGTCATGAACACATGGTTTCAGCTCCCACCTCGTAAGTTATATACTTGGAGATCGCCAGGAGACCGTCCAAATCGAATAATTAGAAACCAAATTGACTACGTTTTAATAAACAGAAGATTTCGTAACGCTATCAAAAGAATCGCAGCATATCCAGATGCTGATATTGCATCCGATCATAATCCGCTAATAGCAGATGTGAGGTTAAAACTAGCAAAAATTAAGAGAACAAATACAAATACCAGCACACCTATAAATACAAGAGAACTGATGAGAGACGAAAATCTGAAGAAGAGTTATGCGAATCAAATTAATGAAAGAATGCGAGTAATAGGACAAAATTATGATATCGAAGAGATGATCAATGATATTAAAGGAACGATTCTGGCAGTAAACAGGGAAGTTAAAACACATATCAGAAAGATAAAGCATAACGAATGGATGACGGACGAAATTATGGATCTAATGGAAAAGCGAAGGCAACATAAACAACAACGTAATCAAGACAAATACAAACAGATACACAAAGAAATCCGTCAGAAAATTAAGAAAGCAAAAGAACGTTGGATGGTGGAAAGGTGCAACGAAATAGAACAATTGCAGGAAAAAGGAGATAGTTTTGGACTACATAAGAAGATCAAAGAAATATCGAATATACACAAAAGCCACCACAGAACAAGAATACGCAACGACAGAAACGAATACATAGAGTCAGAAGAAGAAATAGCAATGGCGTGGAAAGAATACGCAGAAAGCCTTTTTAATGACGAAAGACCAACACAACCAACGCGCAAACTTCCTTCCGAAAACTTATCAGGGCCATCAATAATGCGAAGTGAAATAGAATATGCAGTTAGAACCACAAAGATGCATAAAGCAACAGGTCCAGATGAAATTAATATAGAAGCAATAAAACTACTAGACGAGGAGAATATCGAAATCTTGGTAAGGCTGTTCAATAGAATTTATGATACTGGTTACATTCCGCGAGAATGGCTGCAGTCATCCTTTGTGATGATCCCAAAAACAGCTAATGCCACAAAATGCAATGAACACCGCTTAATCAGTTTAATGAGTCACTTGTTGAAACTCTTCCTTAGGATATTACACTCAAGAATGTATAAGATACTAGAAGAACTTAGCGGGTCAACACAATTCGGTTTTAAGGGAGGACTAGGAACAAGAGAGGCAATTTTATGTTTGAACACCTTAATACAAAACTGCTTAGATCAACGAAAAGATGTCTACCTCACCTTCATCGACTACGAGAAGGCATTTGACAATGTTAAACATGATATCATGATGGAACTACTACATAGGGCCAACATTGACCAGAAGGAGATCAGAATTATTCAGAATCTATACTGGAACCAAATGGCAAAGGTGAGGATTGATCAAGACCAATATACGGATGAATTTGAAATCCGGAAAGGTGTCCGCCAAGGCTGCATACTCTCTCCGATGCTTTTTAATTTATATGTTGAAAATATATTTGCAGAAGCATTAGAAGATACGGAATTAGGCATTAAGGTGAACGGCATACCAATTAGCAACCTACGCTATGCGGACGACACAGTGATTATAACTGATAATTTGGAAGATCAGCAGTTATTACTTGATAGGGTGAATAGCATAGGTAAAAAATATGGCCTCAAACTCAACATTTTGAAAACGAAATATATGGTCATTAGCAGAAACCCTCCAGAAAACCCGATATTATGCATAGGTGACAATCGTATAAATCGCGTGAAAACTTTTAAATACCTTGGCACCACAATCAATGACCAATCGGATCCACAACACGAGATAAAAACCCGAATACAAATGGCAAAACAAGCTTTTGTGAAATTCAGACCGCTCCTATGTAATCAACACCTAAACTTCGAAATACGCTACAGAATGGTCAAGTGCTACATATGGTCCATCTTGCTTTATGGCATGGAAACGTGGACTTTGAAAAAAACATCTATCAACAAACTCGAAGCATTTGAAATGTGGTCATTGAGAAGAATGATGCGCATACCTTGGGTGGATAGAGTTCGAAACGATGACGTCCTTAATAGAGCCGGCGTGGAAAGAGAACTTTTTGAATTAATTAAAAAACGCAAGATTGGTTACCTTGGGCACATATTGAGAGGAGCAAAATATGAAATACCACAGTTAATCCTACAAGGGAAGATCGAAGGTAGGAGAGGAGCCGGCCGCAAACAATTGTCCTGGTTAAGGAATATTAAAGAATGGACAGGAATACACAATACAGGTGAGCTGTGTCACGCCGCCAAGAACAGAATTCTAGTAATGAGATAGTCGCCTACGCACTTTGGTGTATGGCATGTTAAGAAGAAGAATTAGAGTTAAACTTGTAGTGAGCTATCGACAAATTGTGAACCGATTATACTTTTTTGTTTTTGTTACTTAAATAATTATACCTAAGAGTTTCTTTTTGAAGACTTTATAACTATAATGACCCAGTAGTAAGAAAGTGAGCTTCAGTCAGTAAAAACTATTTATCGTTAAATACGTATACTTCAACTTTTCTTTTTTAACAAAAAATATAGAAAAAATGCGGTTTTGTTCCGTTGATTTGTAGATTTCTTACCTTTAGGTTAATGTGTAATTCTTTTTTCTTTTGTAGGTTCGAACGGCAAGGCTATTATTAGCTCCTCACGATACTGGTGTGTGGATAAGAATATTATTTGTATTTTTTATAGTAGCCGTGTTTACCATTTCCCTAAAATTAATCTATAGATTCAAATCAAAAAAGAAAAAAGCAATTGGAGATATATGGCTTTTGACTGATGTCGTAATAATATTGCTAACTGCGACGTGTTTTGTATTATATATCCTCAGATCCCAAGAGGTAAAAGCATTTTTGCAAAAAATTGAACTAAGCAAGCATAACAGATTTATAAAGTATTTTCATTTATTTTACTCTGAAATTACTTTAACCTCACTAGCTGCCTTTTTGGTATTCTTAGCAACATTTAGAGTGTGGAAATTACTGAGGTTTTTAGTTATTATTAAAATTGTCGAGAAAACTTTAGCTATTTCAGCATTTCATTTGTTTTGTCTTTTTATTCTTCATTTTCACTTACTAGTAGTTTTTACACTCGCTGCTTATTTGCTATTTGCAACTCAAACATACGATTTTAAAGATCCTTTTATTTCATTTGTTAATTTATTCTTGGCAGCTTTCGGACTTTTTAAATTCGATACAAGTTCCTTTACATCTGCTGTACATTATATTTACTATATTTTTTTAATGGTCTTCAATCTGGTGTTTGTTAATCTTTATATCGTTCTCGTAAATATTTACTACGGGCAAGCGCAAATGTTTTACTCAAATTATCAAGAATATAATGTTATGGATTATGTGAAAGAACAGTGGGTGTATTTGAAGCTTCTAAGGAATATTAAAGTAAAACAAGTTCGTCAAAAAAGCGGTCAAGATGAAAACATTGAAAAACGGAAACTTGTGTCGCCCAAAGCAGATGAACATCGATATGCTAAGGGCGTGATAGTTCAAGAATATAAAATGGTCCAAATGAAACTACTTGCTTTATGCTGGTTAAGAAATATGCATCGCAATGGACAATTTTCAGAGTCCGATAGATTACTAATTAAACGTACTCTAGCTGCCTTGCTTCTTAAACTTAAAACTATGGAAAAACCAGATTTTTTCTTTATAAATTACAGAGAGGGTTCTAATACCTTGATTGACGATTTAAAATTTCAAAGAATGGAAAGCATTTTGAATAATATATTCGGTAAAGGTCAGCAAGAAAAAGCTGATGATATTAAAACTACTGAAATTGTTTATGAAACTGTTATGAATAATAATGATATATTGTTAAATAGAATTTTAAATAACCTTGATAATGTTTCAAGGGCATTAGATTGTATTTATATTGACACAACATAAAAAAGTACAAAACAAAATTATTTGTCTTTTATTTCCCTCAAATAAATAAGGTTAACAACAAACAAGTAAAAGAACATAGTATTTACTGCAACTATTAAAATAATTATGTAAATAATAATCAGAAGGTTGCATGTTTCTTCAATGTTGCGTGTACATCTTTATGCATAACATATTATTACCCTGTTGTGCCAATCAGCACTGCTCGACAAGTTTTAGATTTAAAATTTTATTGCAATATTTAGGAATGTATAAGATATATACAGTAAATTTATTAACAAATATGTTTTAATGATTTTTGTTTAATTTCTTGTTGTGACGGATCATGTAGGTTTATCAAAGAATCAAAGTTAAGCATTTACAAGAACATTTATTATTATAAAAATAAGGCTCCTTAAAACTACAATGTTACAGGATGATCTAATCCACTTTCTACAGGTACGAAAACTGTTTGGGAAAGTATGTAGTATTTATTTTCATATTTTTATATTCTTTTACTTTCTTTTACTGTACTTTAATATGATCTAATTTAATGGTATATCCTAACTTATTTGCTTTAAAATATATTGTTTCTGTTATTTAGTAAAATCGCTTTCTTAAACTGGCTAGCTCATTTATTCTGTTTTAGGTTCAGAGAATTTGACTTTCTCTTTTGTTATTTTTGTGTCGCCAATACACACAAAACATGTAAAGTATTGTATTACTGTGACCATTGAATTGTATTGTCGCTATTCAGATGGGTTGATTTATGGTGGAGCACTTGTCCCATAGACTACCTAAGAATGGCGAAAGGGTTTGTTCTGACCAACTCAAGAAACACTTTCTACCGAGACAGCGTACAGTAAGCACGGGACGTCCCTTCATAGAGAAATAACAAATAAGAGAGTGCTTGGTTGCATACATAAAACTGGCACACTCGATGCTAGCGACCTGATGAACTACTTACTCAACTAAACGGCCAGAAAATGGAACGCGGGATATTTAAAATTATTATATTTCAGTAAAGAATCTCAGTTTACAGATAATTTTACAGGAAAGACTTTAAACTGAATTTTCTCATACTCTAACCTAAAATATATGTGAAAAATTATGTGTAACGATCTAAATATATGTTCAGAATCAAAATATGAAATTTTATTTGTTGTTTTTAGGTTAGAGTATGCAAAAGTTCAGTTTAAAGTCTCTCCTGTAAAATTATCTGTAAAATGAGATAGAAGGATTTCTCGATGCTAAGCCATCGATATTTTCCTCATAAATTTTCAGAAAAATAGGGGACAGGAACACTGGAAAAAAAAACTACACGTTTTATTTTTATTAATCCTCACAGGGACCCCCCACTTTCCGCATGCATGTATGGAGTGCTGATAAAACAAAATAGAAAAACATATACAGAACAATTGTTTTGAAATATAAAGTTTTGAGATATAAAACACAGATCAACACAAAATGCATGCATGTCCCCGCTCTTCTTTATTTATCTTATATTTTACAAAATGCAGATATTACAAATTTGATTAGTAGGTAGCCTAAAAATATTCAAAGAAAAATATTACACAATATACAGAGAACTTTACTAAAGCTAAAATAAATACTCTTAAAATAACAACTCTTACAATAAAGTAAAATACTTTTAGGTGATAAACAAATCGATATAACATATAAAATTTACCATTAACTATTTGACTGAAGTACCAAAGCATATTAAAAGAAAATCAATGTTGTGAACTTAAAAAAATAGTTTATTTAAATAAAGAAATGGAGAAGAGTTTAGAAAAATAGGCTAAATAAAATTATAAATGCTTCATCTTATTAATTTTCTTTTTTTGTAAATCATTTTTCTGCAAATCTCGATAACTTCTATAAACATCATCATAATATTTCCTAATTATTAAGTCTACAGACACATCTAGAAAATAATTAAACACATAATCCAAATGTTGGTTACAAGTAAACCACTCCAGAGTTACATACTTTTTTATCAAAATTTTAATTTTTTTGGACAAATGGTTTATATGTCCATTATTGACTAATACAGCAATTACAATATCATGAATTTTGGCTAAATCTACTATAAAATTTTTTGTTACATAAGCTAAACTTGATTTCTTATCACTATATTCTTTAAACATTGTAAATGTATGATGTGGTTCTAAAACATCAGATATTAAATTAGCTGCACACAGCTCACATTCTTGAATTATTTTAATTTTTCTTGTTATATACCCAGCAACATATGCTAATGTGTTGCCACCATGACCTGTAACATCTGTATCAGGTAATGGTAGAGCTAGATGTTCTATTTCATTTACCTCTAAAAGATCTAAATCAATAAAATCATTGTTGGTGATTGAACTATCCAAAAAGTCTTGCAAATTATCCAGAATAGAACCGTCATCTGTTTCACAATTTTTATTTGAATTAGGAGTAATTAAGTTATTAAGAACAGATGTTTTAAATGATGATATAAACTGGTAGCAATTTGGATTTATATTTTCTGCTCCTAGATGACGGATAGAAGCAAATGAGTTTTCTAAAGGATCTTGATTTAAAGAACGGGTTCTTAAAAACTTAAATCCCAGATCTCTACAAATATTCCACAACTCTTTTGTAGCTACAATAGTAGTTAACCACCCTGACTTAAAAGGCATTACCTTCTTTTTCACTTTCTCATCAATAAACATCCAGCTATTAATTTTTGGAAGAAGACGATTCCACAAAGCGAAATGAGGAGATTTATTAGACATACACCTACGATAAGGCTTTCCACATTCAGGCTTTATTGTTCTGCCATTAAAACTATCAAAAAGTTGATCTATATCATGCACAAATTCAGCAGTATCGATAGCTTGAGAAGGTATATTATTATTTGGGTTACTAACCATCTCTTCTAAAGTAGAAGCAACCGTATGACTGAGGGTCCGTGCGGCCACACACACTTTCATCTTTAACCGACTGTGATTATTAAGATGTAAATAAATCTCCCTTATCCGCCTTAATGCTTGAAACCGTTTTCTTTTGTCTATATTAAAACATTGTCTTATATGATCAATTTTTTTTGTTTGATCAAACTGAATATGGTACTTTAAAAGAGCATTACGAGTTGACTTTAATAAATGTGGTGGGTCAAAAATTGTCAATATTTTATGATTATTGATGAAAAAGTGAGGCCCTGGTTCATCATTTTCCCTACAAAGTAATTTAATAGCGGCACGGTTTGTAGCACCTTGGTCACATATAGTACAGAGTATTTTTAAACCAGTTTCAACTTCTACCTTAGTAATTACTTGTGAAATTAAATACTTCAAATCATATGACTTTACAGTATGTTGTGTAAAAAAAAATGCTATTGGTTGTTTCCAACTTTTGTGCAGACCATTAAGCATAAAAATTAATGCATGATTAGCATACTCATTTTTACGACCCAAGGGACCAAGATCTACATAACCGATTACTTTATCATTAAACTTATCAAAAACTAACTGCTGAGCCAGTGATATTTCATCAAAAACTAAGGAACAATACCTATCTAATGGTCTCATGGTTTTTACTCTTTTAGAAAGTTTCTTTAATAACTGGATATCTATTCCAGCTGCAAAAGGAACATTCGTTAAGAGTTTCTGAAGGGTACTTTTAGCTGGTAATGGTATACTACGTTTCAAAAATCTGTAACATCTAGGACCCCTTTTGTACAAAGCCAAAGCATATACCTTATCACGTATTGTCCAAGTAGGCCTTTTAACTTTACAATTTGAAAAAGCACTTTTAAAAAATGATGCAATTGAAGGGTCCATATTATCTTCTAATTCCCTAAACCTTTCACCTTTAGAAAACTCATATGCAAATTTTAATTTCTGTTTAGTAACTTTTATAGAGTTTTTTAATTTACAAATAGAATTTCTATGAGTTCGATTTAAAAAATATAACTTTTTCTTTTTAGGAGAAAGATCTTTTACTCTATTTTCATTAATTTCTTTTAAAATATGCAATCGCTTACGTTTAGATGGTGGTGTATCATACTCATTATCATACTGACTGGAAATTGACTGTTTATTATTGACTGGGTTATTAATGGAGGATAATTTTGGAGAAACTATTTGAACATTACTATGAATGTGTACATTTGAAACAGAAATTTCTTCAGAAGAATGTGCAGGTATAGGCAAAATTTGATTATGAACATTGGCATTGAAAGGCACTGCATTATTCAACAGTTTTGTTTTTAAACTGCTTGTAAATTGTGTTTCTTCAAAATGATCTTCACATAAATAACGCCTAGTTTCAGTAAATTCAATACCAATAATTTCAAACCAGTTATGACGTCTTTTTAAATCTGTTTCTGGAAATCTAAAAAACTTTTTATTTTTATAATCTGGGTCTGTGACAGGATAAAAATATTTGTTATTACAAAAGGACGCTAAACACCCATGAACATATTTACCGGGTTTGGACATATTTAAGATTGCAAAATGATAAACTAATAATATTACCTACATACAATACGTCCAATACGGACGATTACAAATACCATAAATTATAAATAAACACAGAAGAACCTTTAGTAAAGAAAGAATTTTGTATATACAAATAAACATATAAACAATATGATTATGTATAACCTAAAACTCTATGCTAAAAAGTCAATGTCAACAATGTAAATTTTCATAGTACAATCAAAATACTTTATTGTACCATGGTAAATTTTAGTTTCATAAACAGCAGCGCCCCGATGTGCTACTTACCTGCGCAGAAACAAATGTGAACAATTTTCCCTATCTATTGATCACTCTCTTATTGTTATTTCTCTATGGTCCCTTCTCATACTCGATGGTTTTTCGCTAGGCAATGAGCCAGCAACCATCTCGACGGCCTTCCGTCAAATTCACAACAAAAGTGATTGTCTTTTATCTACCTTCTGCAGTGAGCACCCGCTTAGCTTTTAAAACTCGTTGGTTTTTCGGTAGACAAATCAACAACGTCAGCAACCATCTTCGTTTATTTTCAAG